ATGTTGCGCTAATTAGATGAATAATATGCTGTCCAATCAAACCACCTTTCATTTTGTGCAGCAGTTTCTTTAACACCACATTGTAAAATGAAGACATTACTAGTGGGATGTTGTGTAACATCTAACCCATGGGAAATAGAGAAGGGTAATGGATTTTGGAAACCTGTTACGCTACCTTGTTGGATTTGGTGACCCTGCTGTATAACTCCAACTGTTTACATCAGATCAAAATGCTTTCTAGAGTATGAAGGAAGCGATATTAGACATCACCAGTATAAATTTGGGTTACATTATAGCCATTCTTTATGAAATAGAGGGGAGTAACAGATTTTGGCAACCTGTTACACTGCCTTGTTGGATTTGGTGACCCTACTGTATATCTGCAAATGTTTGCATCAAATCAAAATGCTTTCTAGAGTATGAAACAAAGGATATTAGCTATCATTAGTATGATAATGTGTAACATTTAACCCATTCTGAGTGAATTAGAGGGAAGTAACGGATTTCAATAAACCGTTACAACATCTTGTCGGATTTGGTGACCCTTCTGTATACCTGCAATTGTTCACATCAGATCAAAATGCTTTCTAGTGTATGAAACAAATGAGATTAGACATCACTAAAGAGAATTTGTGTAACATTACAGTCATTCGGTGGGAAATAGAGGGGAGAAACTAATTTCAGGAATGTGTTATGCTGCCTTGTCAGATTTGGTGATCCTGTTGTATATCTGCAACTGTTCACATCAGACTACAATCAACATAATCAACAATTTAAACTCTATAGCATCTGGATGTCAGGATTATTTTATTTATGCATTAGATGCATAAATAAAAAAAATTAAAACATCATAGAGCAAGCTCTCGGAGAGCTCTGTGCACAAGCACATTCTCACAGTTTCATGTCTTCCTGAAATCAGAAAAACTTGAGCACTCTGCTGCTTTCAAACAATAAAAAAAAACTCTTTGCTTTTGCAGACAGAGCCAAAGCTCTTGCTAACACAGCAAATGCATCTGGGCATTGTTGAGGTGACATCAGCAAGACAAGCTTTGTAGTTTGTATGTGTCTGGCATCATTACCAGCTTGTCAAATATGCTTTACAAACAGAAGCAGCATAACAGAGGCCTTGTGAAGAAGATATGCCTCTGTGGAATATCTCACTGGACAGCTGCCAGCGTCATGTGACTGTTTTAGCCAAGAAAGGAAATTATATCACGTCCAACAATGTGATACCACACCTCTCAGAGGTTTTGGAAAGAATTCAAAGCTATTGCGATTATTATAAAAAGAATAAACCAATAAAATACAGTCAAACTCCACTACAAACAACAAAAATGGGCAACTCAGCGAACTACTATTGACCATTAGGTCATTAACAATGTCATCTGTGTTATTGTTATATGCAATAACATATTGCATTAATCAGAAGCTACTAAATAAGCATGTTGCCTCGAGCTGTTCAGGCTGATTTGAGGAGATTAAAACCTAATAAACGTTTTTCCACACAGACGAATGTGCTGAACAACACAAATCTAATATGTGGCCTCATTTGTGCAGGTGTCATGTTCAAAGATGACAATATGAGTTGTGTTGTGTATCGACTGAATGAGTTGACCTCTGCTCTTTACATCCGCTGGGCAGAGAGGCCCAAAGCTACAAGTGAATAAATGAGAAACGTGACATGTTAAAAGGTACAATAGGAGGTCCTCTCTTTAAACAGATACAATTGCAAAAACAGCACAAAAGTAGTTGCAGACTAGCTGTGGGCAATAACAGTGAAAATGTTCAATAGTCTTTGAGGGACAAAAGCTTGGGGTATGGGTTTTTTTACAAATGTTTTTAAAAAGAAGTCTTTTATGCTCACCAAGACTGCATTTATTTGATCAAAAATACTTGTGCTTAATATTTTCGTGGAAACTGTGCTTAACTATTTTCAGTGAATGGAATGAAAGTTCAAATGAACAGCATATTTGTAACATTATAAATGTTTTACTGTCACTTTTTATCAATTTAATGCATCTTTATTGGATAAAAGTATTAATTAGAAAAAAAATTACTTACTGAGCCAAAACTTTTCAGCAGTTGATGACAAAGGTAAAAGGTGTGACGACTAGCCCCGGTCTCTCCTGTAATGAATGTAACACCAGCTAGAGAAAGACCTGAAAACGCATTTTGACATTGATTTTACCCTGTATCAAACACACACACACACACACAAAGATACTATTACAGATGTAGGACCCCTATAGAAAACCTCAGGAGAAATCAACTGAGGTGTTACATCTGAGGTGCCCAACCGGGCGCAATGGGGTCCTTTCTTTCCTCATCCCTATAGATTCCCCTCAAAAGCCTAATATAAAAGCAAAGACTAAACCACAGTGTGTTGGAGAACAGGGTTAGAGGATTCATGGCTCTGTTTCATTTGTCTTCTCAGAGCGAGTACTGTAGTCTTGCGAGGTTAACTTCATGCTAAGCTCTAACAGACACTTTCAGCTCTGGCACCAGAGTGAACAGGAGATCTTTGAGGCTATAGGCTATAAAGACAGATATATAGTTTGACAACAAAAGCCATTACAGATCTAATCAAGCATTCAACACGACAGAGATCTCAGCTGTGTACCGTTATCCAGGAGAGAAATGTCATGTAAGCCTTTCTTGCTTTGCAGTTAAAAAAAATGAACTGCTGCCCTCTAGTGGTAAAACCTTTCGGTTGGTTTAAGTACAAGACCGCTTTTTTTTTTTTTTTTTTTACCAAGTATGAATTATTTACTAATGAGCAAGGATGGTTTAAAAGCACACAAATTAAATTTTTACACAAACTGAATATTAAATAGATCACTGGCTATGAAATTAATAAACTTATATGTAATATAATTGTATCAAATAACCAATATTAATATTCAAGGACCTTCAATAACAGTTTATATACTAGTTCAGACATGAATTCAGTGCTTTGAAATAGAGGAAACTTACATAATTAGCTGGAACAATGTGCCTTTTATGCAGTAAACTTTCACTTTTTGTATTCCGTCAGGGTTTGACGGAAAATTTCCAATTTCAAACAGTGGTGGAAAACACGATAACTGGAGCGAAAATAACATGTTAAAAACAGAATCCAGAAAACCGATCGCTTGCTGCGTTCGTCAAAAAAAAAATTTGACACCGTAAAATACGAAAATAATAATGTTAGGAACTTTTTTTTTTTGCCAAATATTGAGTATTTCTTAATGAGTACAACTGTTTATGCTGAAAATGTCAAATTAAATAAATCACTTTCACACTATTTGTGTAATTAATAAACTTATATTTAATACTGTTGTATTAATAAACAATATTAATATTCAAGAAATCCTCAATAATCTATTATAAATATTAAAATCAATGTAATTTAAACAGTCCAAGGTGTTTCACACAACGCATGTATGTATTAGTTCAGATATTAATGAAGTGCTTTGAAATGGAGGAAACCGATATAATTAGCTGCAACAATGTGCTTTTGTGTTTGACAAACCACAACTCTGAGGTAGGACTGTTGGTGAAATTTTACAGCTGTCATTCCTCACTGGAGGATCTGCTGTTTGAGCTCCGCCCACTTTTTCTCCAGCCTCTGTTTGATTGGCTCGGGGGCAAAGGTGTATCCAATGGCCTGCTGGGAGAGTATCCACAGGGCCTCCTGGGTCAAACCAAAGGTGGAGGCCGCCAGCTGGTACTCCTGAGAGAGATCCGTGCAGAACACACCCTTATCATCCGTCTGATGGAACAGGAGGAACAGGCATCTTGTTATTTTCTAACTCAACACATTTAAAAAAAAGTTTACATTAAACCAACAATGCCTAAATTTCTAAGGCCTTTAAATTACTAGCACGATCAAAAACTTACTAAGACATGTTATTGGGAGATATGGAGTGACTGGTTTTTATATGCATGTTATACTGTTTTAAAGATATTACTGATTTTCATTACAAAGTATCAGACTTTCACTTTTTGGCCATTGCAAATCAAATAGCATATTTCTTCCATTTCAAAAAAATTTTCAGACTATTGTTTCATATGTCAGGCTTTACAGGGATAAAGTGTCTGAACTGCAAAAAAGAGTGGGAAAAAGAACTCACGCAGAGAACACACGGATGTCCTCTCTTATACCAGTACTGGAAGTGATGCTTGTCATATGAAGGCACCGTTTGACCTTTGACATTAGAGGTCAGACACATCTCTGCAATTCAAAATGGTTACATTTAAATAAAAATAGTTTAAAAAAATTATTATTTCAAGTTTTAGTATGTAATTTTGGAATTATGACAGGACAGTTAATAAAATAAAATAGTTAATTAGTTAATAAAATAAATATAAAATTAAATAATAAAATAGTTTATATATAAATATTAAATTTTTTAAAAGTTCAAGTATGTAATTTTGGAATTACGATGAAAAACTAGAAGAAAAAAAAAAAAATAATAATAAAATAATAAATAATAAAATAAAAAAAGAAAGAAAGAAAGAAAGAAAAGGTAAAAAACAAACAAACAAACAAAAAAAACAATTCTTTAAAGTTCAGCTATGTAACTAAATGGAACTGGAAACAACTGTATATAATGAAAAGCTAAAAAAAATAAAATAATAAATAAAATAAAATAGTAAAATATTTTAAAAAATAATAATTATTTAAAGTTCAAGTATGTAATTTTGGAATTATGACAGAACACTAATTAAAAACAAAATAGTTAATAAAATGTAAAAAAAAATATTTAAGTGTTTAAAAAAATACTTCAAGTATGTAATTTTGGAATTTGGTGGATGACTAGTTAAAAACATAAATTAGTTAAACTAAAAATGAAATAGTAAAATTGTTAATAAAATAAAAATAAAATAGTAAAAAAAATATTAAAGTATGTAATTTTGGAAGTACAATGGAAAACTCTTACCGATAGGAATATTTTGTTTGCAGACTTTATCCACAAGACTGTCAGACCCGCCGACCTCAGGATGTAGGAAGGTTCCGTGGCCGATTCTATCAGGAGGCAAGTTCAACAGCAGCTCAGACTCATCTCTCCGAGAAGGAACCTGAAATACACATGAACTCTTGCGTAAACCATGTAAAATGATGCTGTCAACTCGATTAATCACGATTAATCACATCCAAAATAAAAGTTTGTGTTTACATAATATATGTGTGTACTGTGTATATTATATGTATATATAACAAATACACATACAGACGTATATATTTTATTTTGGATGTAATTATGTAATTTACCAAAACATCATTCCAATATAAAGAAGTTTCCATGTGCTCCGACCTCTGAGAGGTGTAGCGCCAGCTTCAGACCACAGTTCTTGGATTTTTCAAGTGCAGAGAGCAAATCTTTTCCATGACCCACCTGTAAGATCAAAGATACGGAGAGTGCAGATAGAAGCAACAAGTCGAGTATCAAGTTAATTGCATTTAATCTGAACTCACTGTTGGGTCTCCACTGAGGTCAAGTCCAACTACTACTCCATCACTGGAAAGCAGGAAGTCCTCTGCCAGCTTCACAGTCTCCATGGCAACCACAGGCCCGTGTCTGCGGTCCACGGCTACGAGAAACCTGTTCAAACATTCAAAAATACAGCAGGTGACCATAAAAAAGCAGGTTGTTACCTAAAATAAATACCTTAATATTACCTGACATCAATGTCAACTTCCTCTTGTTTACACTGCCGGATGGCTTCGAGCACAGTTTCAATGTATCTTTGTTTCGTGAGACCTTTTTGTGACAAAAATAAATGTCAACAAAAAGCAGAAATGAGCTGCTAATAAATGTTTGACATATAAAATGCTTCTAGTACCTGTTTCAGTCACTTCCCGTGGCGTGCTACGCAACTCCAAGTATTTTACACCATCTGCCGCAAACTCTTGAATGACTGCTTTGGCAACCTGTTTGATAATCATAATTCTGTTTTTAATTTATTCTTAAAGGTGCAAGAGAATAAAACACGGAGTAAACCATTACCATTAGTATGTCCTCTTCTGAATCAACCAGCTGATGTATCACTTTAAACACTTGAAAACACCTGTTGGAGAAATACACTGACCTAAGAAATAGTTCATTTGTATTGTTATTTCATTGTCCGAAATAACATCAGGACTAGGTGTAGTACACTATTATTAGTATACTTAGTGTGCACTACAAATTTAGTACATTTGTATTTGTATTATTATATTATTTCCAAATATGTGTACTTCTGTAGTATATAGTGGGCAAAAAAAGTATGTGAGATTAGTAGTATGTCCGAATTCATAGTATTCATAAAATAGTACCCGGATGACTTACTACTTCTGGCGAGATTCTGAACAACACAGCACAACAAACTTAGCACAACACAATGGAAACAAGTTGCAACATATCGAAATTAGCACAACTCAACGAAATTAGTCCTATGCGTTGTGTTGTGGCAATTTCGTTGAGTTGTGGAGATTTTGTTGTGTTGTGCACTACTGGGCAACCATACAAACATGAGGCCAAGGGGGAGCATTTGTGAATAGTAGTGAAGTGACGCAACTGACGCTAGAAGTTCACAAATCCCCACTTTTTAGTAAATGGTCTTTTTAGTAAATTTAGTAAATTTTTATAATAATTTTATAAGGAATTCTTTTAATGTTGGATCCAATCCTCCATGTAAATAATAAAAAGGCTTAAACCTCACCATATAGGCTACCATGGCCCATCATCTGGACATTACTTTAAATATGTTATTTCTAAAAACAAAGGAAATAACATACACAATTATTCATGAATATATCCATTTATAATGAATGTACTTTCTGCAACACATTAGTTGAAGATAGTTAACATTTAATCTTTATTGCCCTTTCTTGGATTTTATTTATAATTGGACATGACAGGGAAAAAACTTTACATTTAGATTAGAAACATATTTTACAGAAAAAAAACTAAATTACATAAATATAATCTGTAATTATTTTAATAAAATTT